CGTAACGCATATTTATGTCAGGTAGCTTGATGTGCTAATACCTGTACTTGGCTTAGGTAGATTCCGTAAAGCGTGTTTATGTTGATTCAGGTAGTCTGGTGTGATAATACCTGTACCGTTCCTTGACACTTTTCTCCCTGCCGTCATTCTGTTTACTATTCTTGAACACCTCAGAATGGGATTCCATATTCGATTGAGGTTCACAGCTTCTCTTTTTTTTGTTGGAATTATCCGTGTGTTTGTGGATTTCTATTGCATCCCATACTAGTCGGCTGGCATCCCTGGTCAGGGGCAATGAGTTCCGCGCTTTAAAACAGAATCCTTCACTGAGTGCGTGTTCTGCAACAGCCGACTTGTCCGTTTGGCCTAGTCTGCAGTTCCTTTTATACTCCTTCAGCCTTGTTCCCATGGATCATTTGGATCATTTGGTGGTTCCGATGTATACCTTTCCACTAGTGCACGGAATGCGATACAACCCTGCGGCTGATAGTGGGTCCCTTTTGTCTCTAGCCGACCTGAGGCTTTGTTGTATCTTCTTGGTGGGTTTGAAAACCGTTTTGATGTGTTTCCCCAAGAGTCTGGTGGATACGCACGTGCAACCATTTCCCTGTTTTGAACAGTAGAACTTTTCAGTTTCAGGGTTTTGTTGATTTCTGGTACACTGTATCCATTCGATCTCAAGGTCACTTGAAGATGTTCCAGTTCTTCCTCTAGATGCTCTGGTCTACATATTCTTTGAGCTCGTTCCGTTAAAGTAGAGATGACTCCTCTCTTTTGACTAAGATGATGGTTCGCGATAGTGTGTGCAGGTACCTATCAGTGTGCGTGGGTTTTTTTGGTACACGGATAGGTAACTGCACGCACTATCGAACCACCAATGCTAAGTCCCGACATAAAATTGCCCAGTTGAATTATGTTTTGAATTTCCTCATATATAGATCTATCTGACTCATTGACAACCACAATAAATCCAAGGAACTAGATAAACTCAAATCATCCTATGCCAAAACGACTATCCCGTCTCTCAAATCCAAAGATCCATCCAACCTTAGCAAATTCATACCCTACGTCCCAAACTCCAACTATGAAAAAGATATGACATAATAAAAGTATAAGGGTATTTGAACATAAGATAGCTGTCTACGAGTATGAATCCGACAGCCTCATCCCTTTCCAAACACCATCGTGAAGCCGGCCACAAAATGAGCTTCGAAAACACTAAAACTTTTGCTGCCGAGAAAATTCTTCGGTCCAGAATAATCCGCGAAGCTACTGAAATTGTAAAAAGTTCCAAGTACCACAACAAACGAGATGACTCACGAAGATTACCGCATTCATAATAATAATAATAATATGTTTATTTACCAGCAATAGAAAGACTTTCCAATACATCATATACAATTTCAAATAGAATACAAAAAAATAAATGGAGGATATTATGATCATTAAAATTTCTCTTCAAAAAATAATGGTATTTATCAGCGGCGACGAAATTTATAGGTAATGTAATAAACTGGAGAGCATGGTCCGAGAAGTCCACATGCAAAACTTTGTTTTCATTTTCATACTCAACCGATGAGAATATATTATCAATTGTAGATTTACTGTCTCCTTGTAACCTTGTATATTCGAAGATACATTGTTTTAAACCATATGCTGAAAGTAGATTACGAAGTATTTTTGCCCCACTGTCATGTACTTCATCATGAAAATTGAAGTTAATGTCACCACAAATAATATTAATCGACTTAGAATTTTTATAACTGTCTTCCATAGTATATCCTTGTAAATGTATATTCGTGTGCTATTTGATGAAACAATTTTTGGAAGTAGTCTCAACTCTTCATTTGTCTTTGGAAAAACATGATTTTGATGATGACATTTTTGAAAATGATGCAAAAAACAAAATGACCGCCATCGTAAACCGTTAGGGTTACTAAAAAACTGAAAAGAAAAGTAGCTACACAGATTTTGCACTGCAAAACTTATTACATTTTTCATTTATGATCAATCATTTTCTCGTGAAAAGTACTTTTATATTTTTCAGTAATGAAAATTAATGTCTCAGTACGAGGGTTTTGCCAACCCATATTTTTATGCTTGACATTATTTATATGACTTTCTCCAGGACGAAGGTAATATAAATTGGTGATTACTTAGTCTTTGATAACATTTCCTTATCACTATCGTGAGGATGAATGAAGAAATGTATTTATATGAAAACAGAAAAAACATAAATAAAATGAAATGATCGTTTGGCTCCCAAAATAAAGCAACGGGCTCGATTGTCTTTACACTTGCACATTTTAGCACATCAGAGTCCATTTGACTGATATGTTCTGATTCCACTGAAAACGCTAAAGGTGAGCTCTCAGCAATGCGTTTCTAATGTAGATTTTGATGGAGGAAGGTCTTCATTTTGATCTTGTTTTTAGTCCAATGCAGACGAAACAGTATTGGTACAGTTTTTCCAAAAAAGTCTGTGGAATATCCTACACAAGTTCTTATAAATAACATAAAGATATACCCTTCAGAATCCATAAAGTTTCTAGAAGGTCACATCGATCACGCATTGAACTGGCAAACTCAAATCGACTACGCGAGTAAAAGACTCAATAGCAGTTTCTTTGCCTTAATGCAACTGAGAAAAATACTGAGTGAAGAACATTTCTTGTGAATTCTGTTTTATCTTATAATGTGGTCCTATGGGGAGATGCAACAAATATTAACAGGGTCTTTGTTGCTCAGAAACGAATAATTCATATCATACAATCTACGTCATACTGATTCATGTCGACCTGTTTTCAAGCAGAAGAAGATATTAACAGTTCTCTCCCTATATTCATAACTATCTAATCTTTGTGAAATGTCATAATTACGCAACTAGGAACGGGAATTCTATCAAATTACAACAAGATCGTACAAAATTATTCGAAAAGACACCATCTCTAGCAGGCTAAGAATTTTTCAATTGTCTACCTTCCAACATGAAAAGTGTAGTATCAATGTCAGTATTCAAAAAAAGAATCAGAGAGTATCTCGATGCTTGTTTTTATAATATTATTGAATATCCGCATTCGTCAGTCTACAATAAATTTCATGTATTACCTATTTCGACTATTATGTGAATGTATTATAGTCTATTTCAAAAGAGTGTAGAGTAATAAATCATGAAGTGTCATAAAATTTGCCTGAATTTCGTTGTCGTCCATGGGCGTAGGCAAATCTTAGGATTATTAAACTTAATAATTAAAGTAAATTAAAAATTACAGACATAGATAATAATAAAAGGCCATTTTTGGGAAGTAATTTGGTCTAAAACTAAGTACCTACATGTATTTAGGTAAGTAAAATTTCTTAAAAAAAGATTAAGATTAATTTTAGTGGTTCTTGTAAACTTATTTAATATGCAATTTGGGTTCATATACTTGAGCATGATTTCTCAAAAAAGGGTTAACACTTAGTTCCGAGGTGCCATGTCATTATAATAATCCCTTTTTGACCCTGCCCACCAATCATGCAATACCTATTAAAC